TAAAAACATAGACCATCTTTGACCTAATAATTCCATTTCTAGGAATTTATCTTGCATGCTAACCCCAGACATCTATGATGTGTGTATGAAAATCTTCACTGCAATGGTGTTTGTAAAAGTAAGAGGTGTTTATCAATTGAGAACTTGTTTTAAAAATTAGGATACATTCATACAAGGAAATCCTTAAAAATACTACATAATTTAACAAGAATGAACTAAGCAAAATGGGACAATTTCCTAAATACCATTAATGAACAAAGCAAGGTAAGGAACAGCATGTATTATATATGATCCATTTGACTATAAAGAAATGTTTAACAGAGGTTGCCTCTGTGAAGGAGCAGCTGGGCCCTAGGGTGGGAGCAAGTGTACTTTTTTCTTATATTCATTTGTACTTTATGAATTCTGAACAAAGTTCATGCTTACCTACTACCTACAACGTGATGCTCCGATGGGAGTATATGAGGTTATGCAACAAGGCCGGCATCATGAAGGGATCCAGGGATGCAGGTGCCACTTACCAAAATGGAGCAACATAGGTGATGGATGCCAGGAAGTGTGAAATTCAAGTTCAACAAGAGGGAGCCAAGATAAAAACTAAAGTGATGTGGGAGGAAGAAGAAACGGGGATGAGGCTAAGTAAAAGTAGAACAATAGAGCAAACATTTAAAAGACAATCAAATAGGCTGGATATGTTGACTCGCGCCTGTAATTCCAACATTTTGGGAGGCTGAGGCAGGTGGATCACTTGAGGTCAGGAGTTTGAGACCAGCCTGGCCAACATGGTGAAGCCCTGTCTCTACCAAAAATACAAAAATGTGCTGGGCACGGTGGCACATGCCTGTAATCCCAGCAACTTCATGGGCTGAGGCACCAGAGAATCACTTGAACCTGGCAGGTGGAGGTTGGCATGAGCTGAGATCGTGCCACTGCACTCCAGCCTGCATGACAGAGCAAGATTCTGCCTCAAAAAATCAAAACAAAACAAAACAACACACACACACACATAAAAAAATGAAATAAAGGGAAAAGGAGCTTTGAATGGGGGCCTTTAGGAGTTGCTAATGATCTAAACTTAGGGCACTGTGTAAGTATTTATTCTTACTTAACGGTAAGTAATTAATAAAGGCTTAATATCTACTGGGTTACAAAGTCCAGCTACAAATTGGAGGGAATATAATCTCTATCCAAACAGGATATATTGAATATATATCAATATATGTTTATATTCAATATTGATATATATTGCATATAAACCATATTCAATCACCAGTGTATGACGATAACGTTGATTCTGTTCTTACAGAGTTTGGGAAGGAATATAAATCCAACTTGGGGCTCATTCTCAGCCTGAAGGAGATAACAAGTAATCATTAATCAATGAAGGCTATCCAAAGCAATAAAGCCTTGCCTTCTTTGTGGTATGTGGCCAGGCTGCTGTGCAATTCAGGAGAGTTTTTTATCAGGTATACCCACGACTAATAGCTGTATAGGTATCCATGCCAGTCCACCTGCTTTACATTCAAGTTCAAAGAAGGCAGAGACACCGTGTGTAGTTTTATTTACACAGAACCTGGCAAAGCAGGCTACATAAGTAGACACTTGGTGAAGATATTTTGCTCTGGATGATGGTGGTGGTGATGGTGGTGGTGGTGGCAGTGTTGGTGGTAACGATAAGCATCGATGTTATCTGCCCATCTTGATGGAAACCTTCTCCAGCCCTATTGTCCCCATGGCAGGGAGTGGGGGAGGGGATAGAGTAAGGAGTCAGTTTCCAGTTTTGAGCCTCAAACTCTGAGTTGCTAGGGTGACAACCAGATAATAAGTATACATTGTCATCATATTTGGCTTTCCAGTCTAGAGCAGTGAGATTTGCCCTGCCCATTTTTCTCCCAACATTCAGTGCCAAGCTGTCATCTAAAGGCCCTACGCATCTCTACATGACATCAACAGTGTAGTGTGGCATTTCACTTGTCAAATGATGAATCAATCTATTATTTCAGTTTTTAAGAGGATCAAGCTGGGATTGATTATATTTCCTAGTAATAAAAGTAGCCCAAAAACTAATGTAATTTAAATTAAATTGTTCTCTGCAAGAAGAGTCTTTGTTGTTCATTAAGCATAGTCCATTCCCAATCAGTGAAACTATGTTGCTAAAATTTAAGCAGTAAGAAAAGAACATTTAGAGTTAGAAAAGACATTCAACTTAGACTGGTTCAAACCTTTCATTTTTACACCGCCACCATATTGCCTCTAAATCTGGGAGTAGACACATTTAAAAAGAAGTCAGCGTTTTATGGCTCATCTTTTTTTTCCAAAGGAGGAAAGTTGATAGCTTTATAGGAAGAAATTATGCCATCACCTTTCTTTTTTCCTTTTCACTAGAAGTGGGAACAAAGGATGGAGATGATACTGCAATTTTGATCTCTATAACCTCATTTGAAATCATTCCCTATGATTTAGGTTTTCTTGAAATGAAAAGGATAAATTGTGTTAACTTAGTTAAAGTTGGAGGAAAAAGTTGATTGGATATCCTGTTGTCAAGGAAACCAGTTCGCTCCACCTCTCCTCTCTCTATCTCTCTCTCCTTCTCTCTCTCTCTTTCTCTCTGTCTCTTTCTGTCTCCTTTTCTCTTTCTCTCTCCCTGTCATTTTCTCTCTTTCTCTCCTTCTCTCTCTTTTTCTCTCCTTCTCTCTCTCTCTCTCTCTCACACACACACACACACACACACACACACAACTGGTTCATACAGTGCCCTTTAAACTCTTCATCTGGCATGTAAAAATTATTTTTAAATACCCAAGGGTTCTACTTTGGATATCTGTACAAGAAGCACTCAAGAAAAGTGGTTCCTAGAATTCAAACTCAGTCAGGACTTTTTCTGATTCTGGTGAAGGCACCGTCATTCTGAGTCAGTGCTGTGTCTCAGAAGCACATGAGACAGTCTCTAAGTCATTGCCAAGTCAGCTGCAGAATGAGACTGTTGGAAAGAAAAAGCTGGAATGAGAAGCTTTAAAAAGCAATAGGCCGGGCGCGGGGGCTCACGCTGTAATCCCAGCACTTTGGGAGGCCAAGATGGGCGGGTCACTTGAGGTCAGGAGTTTGAGACTAACCCGGCTAACATGGCGAAACCCCGTCTCTACTAAAAATACAAAAATTAGCCAGGCATGGTGGCAGGTGCCTGTAATCCCAACTGTCCGGGAGGCTGAGGCAGGAGCATCGCTTGAGCTCAGGAGGCAGAGGTTGCAGTGAGCCGAGATCGCGCCACTGCACTCCAGCCTGGGCCACAGAGCAAGACTCCATCTCAAAAACAAACAAATAACGACAACAACAAAACAACAACAACAACAACAAAACAAAAAAGCAATAGAACCACACAACGGTAAGAGAAAGGTAGACAGTTCACTCTCTGCAGCCTTTATCGAGCACCTATCACACTTAAAGCAGGAAGTTATGCACTAAAAAGTAAAAATTAAAAAGTAAGTGAAGGCCAAGTTGAAAGAGATCTTAGGGAGTGCAGTAGGGCTGCTTGTTATTTAAAGACATGCCTTGCCTCCCCACTCATCCTTCCGAGGAGTGCACCTCCCTGCTCCATGAGTGTCAGACTGGGCCAGGTGCCTTGCTTTGGCTTCAAAGTGGCCATAGTGCCCTCCTACCCACATCTTGGGTTTAGCCATGTGACTTGGTTTGACCAATAGGGTATAAGCTGAAATGATGCAGCAGAAATGTATAATGTTCTTGCACCATCAGCCTTCCTCTCTTTGAGTCTTTGCCTTTACCGTGAGAACCTGCCAGCTGAGCTTACACTTCCAAGGAGGATGAGAGACATGCAGAGCCTTGGTGCCCTACATGAGACCTCCCCAGCAGATACACCCAGAAGTCCAGCAGAGCCAACCAGCCAAGTGCAGCTTAGGCCAGCCAACTCCAGCTGACCCTTAGACACACGATAAATCATAAATTGTTGCTTATGTCACTGAGTTTTGGGGTAGTCTATTATGCAGCAATGACTAATACAGAGAGCATCTTAACATCTTAATTTGTTACTTTTTCAGGGCCACATAGCAAACCAAAAAGTAGGTAGAAGAACTTGACCGAAACTATGGGCCTCCTAGGTGGGGCCATTTCCCTAAAGAGGACAAGTCAATCCCTTTCAAACATGGTATCAGGAGAACAGACATCACGAATCCTATGGAGACAGGACCCCCAAATCACTGGAGCCCATTGGAATGTATGTCAGCAACACAGGAGAACTTTAATGCACCTACAAAAGTGATCGCTGACCCAGAGGTCTAGGAAAAGCTGCAAAAAAATCGCTCAGTGGCTGAGGAGAAGCTGTGTGAAAACCGACTGAAATGATTAGGACTTCAGTGTGGGAAGACACATGTGGGAAGACACATGAAGAGCACAAAGAGGAGAAATTCAGGGAAAATAAAGAGAAGGGCTATATTACTTTGCATGGCCAAGAACTAGGGTGACCATATGCCCCAGCATATCCGGGATAGTCTTAGTTGACACGGTCATGCTGGGGTAGTTATTAATAGCACTTCCTTTCACTTTCAAAAGGGAACTGGACTGGGTGATAAATTACACTTTCCCCATGGGCTGAAGGACCCGAGTCTGAGTAAGGTTCAGATACGCTCATGGGATATGACCTGCTGCGCACCATCAAGGCAAGTTGGACAGTTTGTGCTCTGAGGCAAGGGGCCACCACATCCCGTGGCAACAACCCTCAGCACAGCAGGGGGAGATGATGCTGTGCCTGGCCCAGCAAGGCTGCAAAGCCTGGAAAGTGGTATTCTTTCAGGCCAGCACAGTTCCCCCATGGGCAACCCCAGGGTCTTCTCTAGAAGCCTTGTCTGTACTGCAGGACACCCTCTTTGTAGGCCCTTTGGAAAACAGAAACACATATAAATTCCTAATCTTGGCATTTCTTCCATATCAGTTTAACATGTGAAAATAAAAATATCGTACATAATAGAAACGTTGAGTGTCCTTCTTACCCACACAGAGGTCCATACAGCTTTCTGAGCTCCATTTGGCTTTCCCAAAAACCCTGAAGGAAACACAGCACTACAGTAAGAATAAGATTAAGCAAAATTCCAATTATTCAAACTTATTCAGAAAAAAATCTGGAACAGCAAGAACACAATTACAGAAACAATAAAAAAGAATGGAAGTTACATTGCTTTCAAGTACTTTGAAATATTGTAATAAACAAACGGCTTAAAAAATGGCCATGTAAAAGTCTTGGACAGGAGAGATCACCAGTTCTTAAACTACTTATGTATACTTGCTGCTAAAATATTCAAAAAGTTTGCTTTCTCAACTATAACACTGCCCTCTGAAATTTGATTTAGCATTATCATATGGCCCTTTTGACTGCCACTATATGTAACTTCTACTGAGTCTATCAAAATTGTCACAAATTCTGAATTATCATGATTCATTCAAGTTAAACTTTAATTAAATTCAATATGTCTGAGATATATAAGACAAAATGCTAGACACTTTTTTTTTTTTTTTTTTTTGAGACAGAGTTTTGCTCTACCACCCAGGCTGGAGTGCAGTGGTGTGATCTCGGCTCACTGCAACCTCCACCTCCCGGGTTCAAGCGATTCTCCTGCCTCAGCCTCCTGAGTAGCTGGGATTACAGGCATGTGCCACCACATACGGCTAATTTTTGTACTTTTAGTAGAGACAGGATTTCACCATGTTGGTCGGGCTGGTCTGGAACTCCTGACCTCAGGTCATCTGCCTGCCTTGGCCTCCCAAAGTGCTGGGATTACAGGTGTGAGCCACCGTGCCTGGCTAGACACATTTTATAATGGGAAAGAAGTGTAGCTGGGTTGAAGGAGGGGTGGAAAATGCTGGATCCATTGTGTGGTGGGAATGGACTAGACCTGAAAATACTCATGAGTTGGGGTGGGGGTGGGGGGTGGCAAATGGTAGATTTGTGTTGTGAGAAAGGCGTATGTGGCAGATACATAAGGGGTGGAATGAAGGTGGAAAGTTGGGGGTTAGAAGTGTGGATGTCCTGCATGGAAACACATGCCTTTCTCACTAAATCTACTGAATTCTGCAGTGTAAGCTTGCCATACATCAAGGAAAGCATATATGAATATAAAAATAGTCACCGAAATTACTATGTTCTAGAAAGAACTTGGCAGGGCTTGTAGCTGTGAGGATGGCGGGCTGCAAAGGAGCATATGTGGAGGCTCTCCAGAGGCGGGAGCACAGCGTTCTCCTCACATCGACAGCTACGCTGTTTTCCTCAGAATGTTAATACCAAATTAATTACTCCGCGGAATACAACTGATCGTTTCCCCCCAGAAATGTGTGAAATGCATTTTCTTTAGCTTTCCGATCTGGTTTGTTGTTCTATCTTGACACTTTAAAATTTCTTCACACTTGTTTCAAGGGGCTAACAGGAAGCCTCATTGAGATAGTTGTTTGTGAGCTTAAAAGTTGTGAACTGCCCACCCCAGAGAGAGAGATGAGAGGAGAAGGTGTTTAAAAACACTAGAAAGACAGAAACAACAATGACAAATCATGGAAAAGGTGATGGACACAGAAAGGAATGGAAAAGAAATAACTGAGAAGGTGGGGGCAGAAAAGGACAGAAAGACCAGCTTTCTTTTCTATCTAGTGCCAAGGACCAGCCTTTCTGGAGGTAGGGATGGGGGAAATTCTAGAGATGTTGAAGAGATATTATCAGGATTGTCCCAAATGTAGTCTTCCTGCCTTTGTTTGGCTTGGTGGTTCTTCCCATGCAGGGTCTTCTGGCTCCTGGTGTTCGGTCTGGAGTCAGTGTCCCCGTGACTTATCTAAATAAGCCATCTGGCTTCTGAGAAAACTGAATGTGAGAAAAAATAACCGTAGACCATAAAGTCCTGACCTATATCTACAAATGTCTGCTGGCCATTTCCATTGGCATGTCACTCTGGCAAAAACTTATCTTCTCCCTGAACCACTCCCCTGCACAACGTTTTATTTCCGTCAACCCATGGCCATTCTCCCCGTTCCCCTGGCTCAAAGCTTAGACTTATGTTTCACTCACTTTGCCTTGAATTCTCTACACTAATTTGTCACAAGAGTTCTTCATTTTGCTCCCAATTATCCATCTCTTTTCACTCTCATCACCGCCTAGACTGAGCCATCGTGGCTTCACCCCTGGGATTCAGCAACATTTGGGTTCTACAGCACTAACCTATATTCTTCTTCCCTGCAGAGTGTTGTCCATTTCAAAGTCCCTCTCCTTCTCAAAAATGTTAACACACAAATAGTTCTTCACTTGCCTTCCTATCTTGTAAGCATCTAGTCCCCCTTTCTCTCACCCAACTACATTGCCCAGTGCACCCTAACATTTGGCCTCTAGTTAGTCCAGGCTGCTGGTCAACCTGAGCTGTCATTCTTATGTTGGTGCACTCACATATATGGTGCCGCCCACCTGGTGCATGTATCCTCGTCTCTATGTCCACAGCCCCTGAAGGACCTCCTTCTTCAGGAAGTTCCCTAGGATGATTGTAGCCCTGACAGATCACCCTCTTCTCTGACAGAAGACCACAGCTACCGTCTATACTACCCTATCTAGTGCTAGGATGTATCTCATCTGGTGTTGCACGCCATCATTTGACGGTGCACTTCAGGCTACAAGTAATCTCTTCTTCTACACTCTAGGGTCTCTGTATTTAGACAAGCAATACATGGTATTTGGGGGAAATGGGTAAGTGAATGGATGACAGGACTCAATACATATTGATAGTGATAAGAGATAGATTCTTGCTGTCACATAAAAATTCATATTAGTAGAGGAGGGATCATGGCATCACAGAATACCTTTACCACTCAAGGTGTGGGGACTTGGACAAGACCAACATTTCATGCAGAAAGCCTGTCCCGGGCTCAGCATATTTTATTTTATTTTATTTTATTTTATTTTATTTTTTGAGATGGATTTTCGCTCTTGTTGCCTAGGCTAAAGTACAATGGGGCAATCTCGGCTCATTGCAACCTCCACCTCCCGGGTTCAAGTGATTCTCCTGCCTCAGCCTCCCAGGTAGCTGGGATTACAGGCATGTGCCACCAGGCCCAGCTAATTTTTTTTATTTAGTAGAGATGGGGTTTCACCATGTTGGTCAGACTGGTCTCAAACTCCTGACCTCAGGCGATTCACACGCCTCGGTCTCCCAAAGTGCTGGGATTACAGGCATGAGCCACCACGCCTGGCCCTTAGCATATTTTATGATGGAAGCCAATGGAAGACAGCTCTTACCTGGCGGAAAAACATCAAATTTCCAATAAAAGGAGAAGGCTTGGGATGTCTGAGGCCTAACTTCTCCAGTCTTGAGAATGCTGATGTGGAGTACCTGGAGGGAAAAGCAGATTTCAAAAGCTGAGAGATGAAGTTGCATTCATGCTTTAGGCTCTGTTAGGAACTGGAAGTACTGAGATCTCTGGAAGTAAAGGCAAAAGAATAGGTTTCCAGTCACCACATTTAAGAAATGAAAAATTAGAGGCCCAGAGTTGAGTGAGTAGAATAGGAGTCCAGTCAACCTCCTGTTGAGTGACTGGCTGGAAATCAAGGAATCCTGAAACCTCTGAGCCGGAGATGCCTTAGAGACGATGTAGTCCAACTGCCCATCTCTGATCTAGAATTCCTCTTAATAAATTGTTTTAAAAATGCCCCTCTCTCCAGTTCTTTCCTTTGCCTCTAAATCTATCATGAGCAATTGCTCAGAAGGCAAGGTAAAAAAAAAAACAAAAAAAAAACAACTAAGAATGGCAAAAGCTCCCTGTGAAAATGTGGGTATTTTCATGGTCAAGACTAACCCCTCCCTGCCACCCACATAATTTGTCCCTCACCACATTCTCTGGCCTTATAGAGAATATGAAAAATAGGAACGGAGGGAAGGCGCCATGAGGAGAAGACCTATCACCAAATGCTTACAACCTCTTTAAGTCTTTGTTTTCTCGGCCTGCAACCATATGGGAAGCATATTTTCTTAACCAAAAATCAGGAAGCGTGGTCCGACAGATTTCTGCGCCACTTTCCAGGAGAAAGCGGCAGTCTGAGAAGAGCGTGTGGCTGTCAAAACATGGGAAATTACTACGGTATTTCAACAGTTTATAGGAACAGAGGGATAACACAGTTAAAGTCAGAACTGGCTTAGAAAAACCTGCACATATGGCTCTGATCCCTAACCAGCAGCCAATTAGGTCAAAAGTTCAGTTAGTTCAGCAAAATTAATGAGTCAAACTGGTTGTTTAGCATCACGCAGAGATCAGTCAAATCACAATTTAAGGGCAAGGAAAAACATGGAGACTATCAGTACAATCTAGCTTTCTGTGTGTCTTAAAACTCAACTATTACTGCTATAAGAATCACTCTTTTTCAAAGGACAGAGTATTTGCTGTAGTCTTTGATCTTTCCCACCTGCAGTCAATAAGGAGTACTTAAAATAAAAATACTCAAATATTCAGGGAAAGGAAACACAGCTTAAGCGCTGGTTTGCATTATTCTGAACAGTGTGCTATTTATTTCTTTAGAGACAGGGTCTCTTTCTGTCACCCAGGCTGGAGTGCAGTGGAGGCTCACTGCAGCCTAAAACTCCTGGGCTCAAGTGATTCTCCTGCCTCAACCTCCCAAGTAGCTGGGACTACAGGTATGTGCCACCACTCTCAACTAGTATTTCAGATTCTTTGTAGAGACAGGGTCTCTCTATATTGCCCTGGTTGGTCTTAACTCCTGGCCTCAAGCGATCCTTCTGCCTTGGCCTCCCAAAGTGCTGGGATTAAAGGCATAAGCCACTACACCTGGCCAATGAGTCGATTTTTAAAGTGGTCACAAAGGAGAATCAGGGCAGAACAGGAAGGCAGGATGTCCTCTATCCCAAGCTGTCCTAAGATTTCCACCGGATGGTTCCATTAATAGGTTTGAATGAATTCCCAGTACATCACATTTAGGTCCATGTTCAAGTGTGATTACAAACCACACTCAAGAGCCACGCGTGAACGCCATGGATTAGTCATACCAACACTCCTCTTCATTAGTGTGAGTACCAAAGGTTGACAGCACAGTTGGTAAAAGTTATTCTTTCAAGTGGACTATAATGTTTTAAATAATTCCCCTTACAACTGAGAGGAAGGACCAAAGGCAACTTACCAGCCCACTTACCACTTTCTTTAACATCCTCAAATCAATTGTCTATGTTCATTTCTTCATCAACTTTTTTTGAATTATTTTCTAAATGTAATCTCTAATGGGTAGAAAAAAAGATGTAGACCTTGGACCACATAATTACATCTTAATTTTGTAATTAGATGTCTTGATTGTCTAAAGGACAAGAAGTCTGTGCCTAATTACACATGCTAATTATTATGCAAGTCCATGCCCTAATTATGTAACTCCACTTATGAAAATACTGCTAGTGTGTCTATGCACAAAATTCAGACATTTTCAAACATATGGCGTCAGCAGAGAGTGTCCTGGACACCACCACAAACTTCCCTTTGTAGCCTCAACTCAAATCTGGAACTTGAGCATCTTCAGCTGGAAACTGGCCAAATATTGCCATCAGTAACTCAAGTCCCTGCACCCAAATCTGCAGGGAGAGATCATTGCCACCAAATTTATGGGCGAAATAGCAAAATGGGTTCCATTTGTCTCGCTACCACTTCCTTCTCTGTACTCTTGTTTCATACCCTCTGGTCTCAGGGTCCCCCGGCTGCCCTCAGACTGTCTCAACACGTTCTTAACCCAAAATCCATGAACCCCAGGTGTAGTGGGTTGAATTATATCACCATCAAAAAGGTAAGTTGAAGTTCTAACCTTCAGAAGTCCTAATCTCAGACTGTGACCTTACTTGGAAATAGGGTCACTGCAAATGTAATTGGTTAAGATGAAGTCATATAGGCTGGGCATGGCAGCTGACGCCTGTAATCCCAGCACTTTGGGAGGCTGAGGCAGGCAGATCACTTGAGGCCAGGAGCTCAAGACCAGCCAGGCCAACATGGTGAAACCCCATCTCACTAAAAATGCAAAAAATTAACCAGGTGTAGTGTTGCATGCTTGTAATCCTAGCAACTCAGGAGGCTAAGGTAAGAGAATCTCGAACCTGGAAGGAGGAGGTTGCAGTGAGCCAAGATTGCACCACTGCACTCCAGCCTGGGCGACAGAGTGAGACTCTGTCTCAAAAAAATAAATAAATAAAATAAAGTCATACTGAAGTACAGAGGCCCCTCAATCCAGTATGACTGGTGTCCTTATGAGAAGATGGCCATGTGAAGACAGAGATTCACAGGAAAGTGCCGAGTGACTATGAAAGCAGGGAGAGGTGTCAGGCCACTGCAAGCCAAGGTATGTCAAAGATAATCAGCAAACCACTAGAAACTAGGAAGAGGCAAGGAAGGATTCTGCCCTATAGATTTCCTAGGGAACATAGCCCTGTAGACACCTCAATTTCAGGCTTCTGGACCAGAACTGTGAAACAATACATTTCTGGTGGTCTAGGTGTGGTGGCCCATGCCTATAAAACTAGCACTTTGGAAGGCCATGGTAGGACAATTGTTTGAGCCCAGGAGTTTGAGACCAGCCAGGGCAACACAGCAAGACCCTCATCTCTACAAAGCATAAAAAAATTAGCTGAGTGAGCCTGGTTGTGGTGGCTCATGCCTGTAATCCCAGCACTTTGGGAAGCCGAGGCAGGTCAATCACTTGAGGTCAGGAGTTTGAGATCAGCCTGGCCAACATGGCAAAACCTCATCTCTACTAAAAAAAAAAACAAAAAACAAAAATTTACCGGGCATGGTAGTGCGTGCTTGTAATCCCAGCTACTCAAGAGGTTGAGGCATAAGAATTGCTTGAACCCAGGAAGTGGAAGTTGTAGTGAGCCAAGATTGTGTCACTGCACTCCAGCCAGGATGATGAAGCAAGACCCCGTCTCAAAAAAAAAAAAAAAAAAAAAAATTAGCCAGGTGTGGTGGCGCACACCTATAGTCCCAGCTACTTGGAAGGCTGGGATAGGAGGATCACTTGAGCCCAGGAGTTTGAGGCTGCAGTGAGCCATTTTTGTGCCAGTACACTCCAGCCTGGGTGACAGAGCAAAACCCCATCTCAAAGAAATGAATAAAGAAATAAATAAATAAATAAATAAATAAATAAATTCTGGAGTTTTCAGCCACTCAGTTTGTAGTACTTTGATATGGCAGCCCTAGGTAAGTGGTACACTAGGGACCCCTATGAGTGAGTCTTACAGGGTCAATGAAAAGTTGTTTTTAAATATCTTCCTGTTACTTTAAAAATTGTCATTGTAAAAAAGAAATCCTTTTACGCCAAATTGTGTCATTAAGTCCTGTGCCAATTTAAAAAGTGCAGGTGGCCAGGGATGCTACTGTGTAAAGCAGGTAATATGCAATGATTAGGCAGTCACCATGTTCTGATGTTTACAATGGGTTTCCTTTGATGTGAATCAATGCAAATGTATCCCACAATTATGGTTATGGACACCTGTCATTGTTTACATCAAGGATACTTAAGTCGGAAAATGGCAACGTAAAGTATATATAGCTTCAGACAGCATCTTTTGGTTTTATTTTCACAACGATAGAGGTCGTTAAATGCTACAGGACACAAATACTGCAGTGCCAGCAGCACAACTTACTGTCCAGTCTCAAAATAAATCAGGCCATTGGATCATTTCCAAAATCAGGTTCAATTTGTAAAGGCTGGAAAATTTCCTGTATTTTATCTTCCTTGGCCTTCTCTTTATTTGTTTATTTATTATTTATTTTTGAGGCAGAGTCTCACTCCAGTCCACCCAGGCTGGAGTGCAGTGGCACAATCTCAGTTCACTGCAACCTCCTCTTCCTGGGCTCAAGCGATTCCCCTGCCTCAGCCTCCCGAGTAGCCAGGATTACAGGCGCCCACCACCATGCCAGGCTAATTTTTGTATTTTTAGTAGAGACAGAGTTTCACCATGTTGGACAGGCTGGTCTTGAACTCCTGACCTCAGGTGATTCTCCTGTCTTGGTCTTCCAAAGTGTGGGGATTACAGGCGTGAACCACTGCACCCAGCCTAAAACCTTCTCTTGATGGATTCAACACGGGTGCTTAGCCCATTGTTTAGCCAAAGAAGCCACTCCTGATAAATTGGGGGTATTTTGATGAATCACATATTAAGGAGATGGTCAAACTGATTGAGGCTTGGAACAAAAGAAAACAGAAATTACCTTCCTCCAGGAATTGGCTTCTCCTGAATTGTGCGGGAGAAAGGTATAGCCAGGGCCTCCGTTCGGTCATTACATCCTCACTGTCACTACCAAAGAATTCCTACTTGGTGCACTGCTTTCAAAAACTTCAGCTGATGTA